CCTCCTCCTCCCAGTGTGTAGTTTCTCGGTCTTCTGTCGTAAAGGTTCACTGTCCGTGTTTCAGAACTGAGTACGGGTGGGGGGGGTGGGGGTGCGCAGACCTCAGGTGGTTCTGGGAGCGGAATCCCGCACTGCCCGGGAGCCGGGTTCTTGCCCGGCCCGTAGTGACCGAGAACGACGGCAGCCAGAGCGCTGTCACGCTCCACCCGGCCGCCACGGGGAGCAGTTCCCCATATTCTTTACGAAGAGACGTTCGCTCCAGTTAAGGGCGGGAGGCTGTGTCTAAGACCCCGTGGGGAGCGGGAAGCCGGACCCCACGCTTGGCCGGATTCGGTGCCTGTTGAGGCAGGGCTTTCCCGTTTGAGGTCTCCACCATCTTCCGTTTCCTGTGTGACCAGACAGCTGTTGTGTTGTAAAATATAAAGCAGGAAGACTGAGGTTGTAAATATTTTGTAAACATGACCATTTGTACTTGAATAGTAGGATTTTAAAAAGGGCACCGGTATCCCGCCAAACAAAAGGTGTAATAAAATGACCTTTTTATATGTTTGCTCGTTTTCTCTTTCATAGAAAACTAGTATTCTCGTTAAAATAAGACGCTAGCCGTGTTTGTTACATCTGTGTGAAGAAGAAAAAAAAGGGAAACGCGGGGTCGGAGGCAGAGGCCTGCCCGCGCCGCAGAAGGAGCCGAGCTCGCTCCGCGGTTTTCAGTGAAGGTCACGCTCTCTCTGCAGAGACCGCGCCCACCGGCCCTGTGCGCAGACGGCACGCGTTACTTTTCTTTATCATTTCTTTTGCTTTTAGATTACCTTTTTTTGTCGTAGTTAAAAAAAAAGTTGCTGATTACAAAGAATACCTTTTTTATAAAAAAACCGCACAACTTCATACAAAGCTCAGATGGTTATTTTTGGAATCTTTTCTTCCACTGCAGAAGCGAGGGCAGGCTCCTGCGGTGTCGCCTGCATCCGCAGACCTGGCTGGGGGAGGTCATGGGGACCTACGACCCTTTGCCAAGTGCCTGCAGGTGGAGGGGGGGTGGCGGTGCTTGGGACCTCTGTGCTCCGTGGCTGTGATGGTCTGCGCTCAGGCACCTGCCTAGCCATGTGATGGGGCCAGTGACTTCACTCCTCAGGGTCTCGGTTTCCTCCTGTGTCCCTCTCTCCCGAAGTGGTTGTGACATCTGGAAAGCACTTAGCCTCCGGCACCCGCACCCAGTAGATGATTTCATTGTGATTACTCTCGGTGGAGAGGACCGTGTGTTTTCCGAACCGTTCCTCACCATGGCCCTGTGATCACGTCTTTGCCAACGGTACAAAAGCCTGCAGGTCTCGGGCCACAGCTGGCCCCAGGCCGTATTTCCGTGTGCGTTCAAGGTGGGGCTGGGGCCACCAAGTACAGGGATTCTGCTGTCTGGCCGCAGCAGGGAGCACCTCCCACGGGTCCATTTGCCACCACCTCCAGTGCGCGGGGCGTCCAGATTCAGTTTAGCGTGAAACACGCCCTGTAGGGTTGCCCGCGGGCCACCTGACTCCGACCAGCCTTAGAAGGCTCACTCGGGTCTCTCTCTTAACTAACCTTAACCTCCTGTCTGCCGTTCAGATCCGATGTCAACCCCTGGCAGCGAGCTTCCCACGCTCCACGTTAGGGGCTGTGCTCAGGGGCCCGTGGGAGACAGGAGACCTTCTGTCAAGGTTCTGGGCAGGAGTTCTCTCCTCCTCTGTCCTGGGCCTGTAGCGTTCACACCCTGAAGTAAACTAATCTTGCAAAGGTCCCGTCTTACTGGGTGAATTATGGTACGTGCATTCTGCGAAATGGAGTGCAGCCACTAGGAGCGAGGTAGGGCTGTATAATCTGGAAAGGAGAGGTCCCTCCACGGGTCAGCCAGTGAGAAGGTGCAGAACCGTCTGTCAGAACGGAGCTGCTTGTACGCCTGGATGTGCCCAGGATACCCTGAGTTGGCGTTAGCTGCCTCGGGAGGGAGGGGGGTGAGGTCGCTCAGGGATAAAGGGGTGTCTGCCATTTGGCATAGCCATTAAGGGGGTTCAAGCAGTTTGCCAAGTACACGAGTTAGTCATTTTTAAATAAGGCTCTAGAAATCGCATGTTCCCCACGTGCCCCCGCTGTTCAGGAGCCTTCACGGGGCGGGTCCCAGCATCCTTGCCCGCCCCGTGAAGCCCCCTGTGCTGGTACACAGCACACGTACGCTTCTGTTCTGGGGACAGCCTTCATTCCCCCGAAGTTCACCTTATCGTTCGGTCCTCTGTTGTCAAGTGTGTTTCGTCTTCGAGGACCAGCCCACACAGAGCACGCACGCCTTCGCTCCTCCCCTGAATGTTCTCCAGCCACACCTTGTACTGGATACTAGTATTTGTGGTTTCCCCAGCAGCACTGCTGTTGTGTTCTACCTCAGCTCAGAGCGTTTGCTGAAACTTAGTCACTAGTGGTGAGTAGAGGCCCGTTCCTAAGGAATGTAGTGAGAAAAGACCTCAAGATAAGGGAAGGCAACCAGGCTACGTGACATCCCTCACGACCCTATACCATGAGACCACCCCATCAGACTGTATGTCCGTATGTTACCCATAGATGGGAGACAAATCGAAAATGCATAAAAGACCCATGTGGCGTTCAGGGCTCAGTTCTTCGGGTATGAACCCAGCTGGGGTGCCGACACCAATAAAGTTGCTTCCTGGAAAGAAAAGCCTCAGAGTCACGACTCTCTGAGCGAGAATCCTGCTACGATGGTGGAAGTTTTGTTTTTTTAATGATCAACAACTTGGCTCTTTCCTTCAAGAAAATCAAAATCAATGAGTGGGATGGATGGTTTAATCAGATGATGTTTATTGAGTGCGTACTACACGCAGTTTGTTGTCTCTGCCCAGAGCTATAGCCGTGCGCAAAACAGAAAAGGAGGTGGCCTTCTAGCAGGCCAGACGTGACCGTGCTGAACGGCAGACCTCTGGGTTTGCAATGCTGGAGCTCACGCACCCAGTCTGCAGCGGAGACGTCAGGAAAGGCTTCAGAAGCGAAGCCGGGACACGCCAGACGTTGCCCTAGCGCAAAAGCTGTGCTCGCGGACCTCCGGACCCCAGGCTGAGGTGCCTCGCCCCAGTCGAGAAAGTAGGCACTGGAGCGCCCCTCCTTTCCTCCGCTGCCCGGCCTCCTCTTCTAACTGGGCTCCGGCCACTGCTGTATGACCGCCCCCGCCCACGTCCCCTAGGGCAGGGACGAGACGTGCGTGGTCTGTGGCAGACAGTGACCTGAGGATGGACTGGCTGGATGGCGGGAGCACGTGACGAGGGCTGCAAGCTCCGGCTCGCGAACTGACCGGCACGGGCACGGGGACCGAGGGAGACCAGAGGAAGAGGAGTGCGCAGGAGCCGGATGTGAGCCGAGCAGGCCCCGCCCCTTCCCGGGGGGGGTCCTCCCTTTCGCCCCGCCCACTCCGATTGGCCCGTGCTGCGCCCGCGCACTGGGCCGGCCGGCACGTTGGGTTTCGTCCCGTGGTCGGGGCCGCTGCCGCTGTCTCCGCTCTCGTCCCCCGCCGGTAGTCGGCGCCGCGGTGACGCCTCCTACCCGTGGTGTTGACCCCCGCCCCGGTGACGCCCCCTCCCTTGGTGGCGACTCCGTCCTGGTGACGACCCCTCCCGTGGTGGCGACCCCCGCCCCGGTGACGATCCCCTCCCCGTGACTGCGCCCCTCCCTCCCGGGGCCACCGGCTGTCTTGGGCCCTGTCCTGCCCACTGGGCCCACCCGGGGGATGCCGTGGTCACGAAGGCGGTTTTCCGCGGCGAGCCTTGTCCACTGCGGTTTTCCCGAAGGTGGGAAACTCGACCGCATAATCTGCGGTCGTGGGGACCGGTTCGCGCCCTCCCTGAAGAAGGAAAAACGCTTTGGCCCAAGGGCCGCGTGAACCGTCCTTCCTCAGAGAGCGGGCGCGGCGGGAGGCTCGCGTGCCCCTCTCGGTGCTCCAGGCGCCGGGTGTCCGGTGCGCAAGGGGGCGCACTGCGGGGGCTCCAGACCACGCTCCCACTTTCCCGCGGGTCAGAGCGCTCCCGGGGGTCACCCTCCCGCCGGGCAGGACCCTAGGGCCTCACACCTGACCTGCTTTCCCGGGGGCCCTGGGGTCCCAGCACTGCTTGCGCGCTGTCGCACACGCCTTTCTGTGCCCTGCGAGGCTGAGAGCCGTGCGCTTTGTTCCTTTATATTATGAGTCTCCATCCAGCGTTCATATCACGGGCACAGACGAATAGAATTTTCCCCGTAAAGATACGTAACAGGGGCGCCTGAGTGGCTCAGTTAAGCAACTGGACTCTTGATCTCAGCTCACGTCCCGGTCTCAGGGTCACGAGTTCAAGCACCTCGTTGGGCTCCTCGCGTAGGTATGAGGCCTACATAAATAACAAACAAACAAATACAGGAAAGATAATGGAATGCTGGGTACTTCTGGGCGAGACTGTCCGCACACCTGAGCCTGTGGATACAAACCGAAGTGACCCAATCGTAATACCAAAACTGAAATAGAAATGTCCATTGTAACAGTTTGATCGTGATTTTCAGGAACGACCCCTTAAGCACTGTGAGGTACCCCACATTCAACCAGAAGAACAAAGTGCTTTAAGGTGGTTGTTGGTCCCCAAAGGCTGTGGCGCCTCCCACTGTGGGCGGCGAGTGCGGAAGGCCTGTGCTCAGCTTCCTTGCAGGGGAGCAGCCCCGCTGTGTTACCCCGCGTGTCTCACTGCAGCTGCCCCAGAAGTGATACATTCATTTCTGGATTCTTTGTTAACTACTTTTAATCTCCACTTTGATTTGCCAAAGTCATTTTGTGTGTCTTAGAATGAAGCATATTTTATTTTATTTTATTTTATGTATTTATTCTTAGAGAGAGCAAGCATGAGCAGGGAAGGGGCCGAGCGAGAGAGGGAGGCACAGAATCCAAAGCAGGGTCCAGGCTCCGAGCTGTCAGCCCAGAGCCCGACGCGGGGCTCGAACCCACAAGCCGTGAGATCATGACCTGAGCCGAAGTCAGACGTTTAGCCGACTGAGCCACCCAGGCACCCCTGATGGAGCATATTTTTAAGTGAGATTTTAAATGTTGTGAAACACGCCCTCATAACAAGATTCCGAGCAACACGGAAAAATCAGGGTTCCTCCCTGTGCTCTGTCCTGCCCCATCCTCCCACCTCCTCCCCTGCTTTTTCTTGTTACTTAGCAGTACGTGTGTAACGTCTGTCCCAAGTCAGGACATGGATAAACAGCAGTCCACGGCAAGGGGGCACCGTCCTTCTCGCTCAGTCCCCGCTGGCGGGGTTTCATCGGGGGCCTGGCCGGGGCCACGCCAGTCTCTCGTGGACGGGATCCCGTCAGCGGCAGCTGCGCTGGGACCACGGGTCACAGGGTAAGCATACTTGGACCTTACCGTTAGTTGGAATTGACACAGTATCTCCCGGAAAGTCACAGCGGTTGACATTCCCGTGCGCGGTGCGGGAGGGAACCCTTTACCTCCTATCTGCTGCGCTCTTTGCCATCCAGGGGGTGAAGGGCATCCCGCTGCTGCCGTTCCTGCTTTTCCCCGGTCGCTGGTTAACGTCCCGGTATTCTCCCCTGCCTGCTGGTGAGGTTTTGTTTCTTTACTAATTTGTAGGAGCTCCTTGTGTATTAGAAATATTGCCCTTTGCAGCCACTAATAAAATGATGCATGT